CCAAAGTAACCTGGACACAATGTCATGCTAATATAGTCATATTTTCTCTAGTTATGCATCTAACTCCAGATACAGAGAGAAACTTATGTCTACCTAGGTTTCATTGTCTTTCAAACCCTTTCCTGGACTTAAACACTGAAAGTAAGTCTGTTCTTGCAAAACACTACCACAGGGTAATTTACTACCCCCATTTACCTGGTAGCCTACTGATTAAGACATTTCATTAGGATGTAGGAGGCCTGGGTTCCAATCCCAACTCTGTCTTGCTTCATAGACAACAACCCTTCAGTTCAAGGATGATCTCTTTAGGTGACTTAAGAGTCAAATCCTTGAGCCACAGATACACCTGCAGAAGATGCAGGTCTTTCTGTTGGGGAGAGTAGGCTGGGATTCCTCTTCTTTTCCTTCCCCCACTCTTTCTTCTATGCTTCAAGGACAAGATGCTTTACTTCGAAATGGGCTGCCACTTGGTTGAGGTTGCAGTGCCGTTGGAGTCAGTTAGCATCCAGCTCCTCCCAGCTCTTGATGTGGGCATCTGTTTTCATAGAATCATAGAAAATTAGGGTTGGAAAGGACCACAGGAGGTCATCTAGTCCAACCCCCTGCTCAAAGCAGGACCATCCTCAACTATATCATCCCAGCCAAGGCTTTGTCTAGTCAGGTCATAAAAACCTCCAAGGATAGATAGCCTCTGGGTAGCCTATTCCAGTGCTTTACTACCCTCTTCATGAGATAGTTTTTCCTATATATCTAACCTAAACATCCCTTGCTGCAACTTTAGACCATTGCTCCTTGTTCTGTCATCTGCCACCACGGAGAACAGTTCAGCTCCATCCTCTTTGGAACCCCCCTGCAGGTAGTTAACGGCTGCTATTAAATCCCCTCTGTCTGCTCTTCTCCAAACTAAATAAGCCCAGTTCTCTCAGCCTTTCCTTGTAAGTCATGTGTCCCAGCCCCCTAACCATTTGCATTGCCCTCTGCTGGACTGTCTCCAATTTGTCCACATCTTTTCTGTACTGGAAGGCCCAAAACTAGACACGGTACTCTAGATGCGGCCTCACCAGTGCTGAATAGAGGGGAAGAATCACTTCCCTTGATCTGCTGGCCACATTCCTACTAATGCAGCCCAGTATGCCATTAGCTTTTTCACAACAAGGGCACATTATTCACATTATTGACCACTGTAATCCTCAGGTCCTTCACTGCAGAGCTGCTGCTTAATCAGTCGGTCCACAGCTAGTACTGGTGCATGGAATTGTTCCATCTGAAGTGCAGGACTTTGCACCTCTCCTCATTGAACCTCATGAGATTTCTTTTGGTCCAGTCCTCCAATTTGTTGAGGTCACTCTGACCTACCCTCCAGCATATCTACTACTCCTCCCATCTTGATGCCATTGTTAGACTTGCTGAGGGAGCACCCCATCCCATCTTCCAGGTCCTTGATGAAGATATTGACCAAAACTGGATCCAGGACTGAGCCACTTGATACGAGGTGTTAACTAGATATTGCCATTGAATACTAGCCTTTGAGCCTGAAAATCCAGACAGTTTTCTATCCACCTTACAGTCCATTCATCCAACCCATACTTTCTTAGCTTGCTTGCAAGAACATTGTAAGGAAGTTTCTTCAGGTATGCCTTCAATGTGTCCTTGTAGCACTTCCACTTGCCACTGTGAAATCTCAGGCCACAGTTATTCTGGGAGCAGAGCACTTGTTTTGTGAGGCAAGAGTCAGGCATCCACACACAATGTCCAGTTCAGTGAAGTTGGTGCTTCAATGCTGGTAACATTGGCTTCAGTAAGGATGCTGGCATTTGTGTGGCTATCTTCTCATCTGATGGGGGGAATTTTCCAGAGGCATTGTTGGTGATACCTTTTCAGGCTCTAAAGATGACGGTGGTAGGTCAACCATGTTTCAGATCTGTAGAGGAGAGTAGGGATGATGACTGCACAGTAAACCTGAATCTTGTCTGGAAACAACCTGGTGTCTTTCCAAACAAAACCCTTCTTGTGGAAAGCGATTGGGGTTCTTCAAAACCTGTTAAAGTGAATGGAAACATTCAAATGAGCTTCACTGGTATAAAACCATTGGTTTATATCCAGAAAGGGACAGAGGGACCTGAATCCGTGATTGGAATATGGAAACCTCTGTCCAGTCAACAGCCAAGGAAAAACATATTCATTTTACCCTCTAAACCTAAAGGAGCTTTAGCCATCTTTTGAGCAGGAATGAGTAAACTGGGGGCATAAGCAGATATCATAGTTTCATAGATGAAGGGTCGGAAGGGACCTAGTAGATCATCTAACCCGACCCCCCGATATGTTCAATGCTGTGTGGTCTTTGGGCTATTGTAAGCCCCAGGCAGCTACCTACCCTTAAGCACTGCCCATAATTAGTAGGTAAACAAGTCTGAATCACCCCCAGTTCCTCTACAGCAGTGATTCTCAACCAGGGTGCTGCAGTGCCCTAGGGTGCCTTGAGATCCTTTCAAGGGTGCCACAGGGTGCCACACAATGTTAACACTGTGAAGCATGCAAATATGATTCACAAGATGAACCCAGGAATTCACTGTGTTAAAAAATGATCTGACCTGCTACCGTCTTTCTGAGTTCTTTGCAACAGAAGGATTGTTCTATTATTTTTCTGTAGCCAAAAGTAGAGAGAAAACTAAGAGTGGGCATTTTCCAAGGTAGAGCTTACGTCCAACAAGGGGTGCCTTGAGTATAAAAAAGGCTGACATGCACTGCTTTACAAAAACAGCCCCAAATACAAGCCCCAGCTCAAGAAAATGCCCAACTAGAGAGATAAACCCTGCATTGTGATCTAACAGCTACCAAATCCCAGCTCTGTGGATATTTTGGCCAGAGATACTTTGGTCATAAATGTTACTGTTTAGTTTTGCCATCTTTTAAATATTTGTGCAGTCACACAATGCACATAAATCTACTGTATTGTTACTGGGAATAACAAACTCAGACGAAGGAGTTTTACTAACAAAATACAAAGAGAAGAGCAGGGTTCTTTTTATTTTATTTTGTTTTTCTATTTTCATTGCAAGACCTACTATAATTCTCTTTCCACCACTACTTCTCAAACCTTCTCTGTGGGATCCCACTTCTTCCTACTGCAGCACTGAAAACAAGGATATTGTCCTCTGACAGTCAAAAAGTCACATTGTTACGGAATACAACATCTGCATTGTGGCTCTGTGTAAGTACTAGAAATAAGGATTTTGTAGAAATAAATATCATATTTTTCAATTAAAACTCACTGCTATTCTAAGAGTGCTGAAGAAAAACTGTTCTCTGGTTACAAAAGTAACTTCAGTAATTAACTTTGTAGCAACTTACTTCTTTTAGATGAGACACAGAAATCACTCCTCACCACCTGTCCACTGTTTGAACTAATGGCACTTTTTGCGAGAACAACAATATTAAACTCAACATCCTGGTTAAATTCCAAGTGGACAATCACAATGCTGCCTACTTAAATTTTTCCTCTGGCACCAAACATATATAATAGGCTTTTTCTATTCCTGTCCTAAGCTGCCCTGTCAAGTTTCAGAGCACTATTTTGCCCCAGAAGCATCTTGTGTTTTTTCAGTGGATGAAATGCAATGCTTCTTGCAGAGTTTGTAAAGCACTTCAGGAGTGTTGGGACTGAAGAGTACTCTATGACTTTAAGATGGGCATTGTGACTTGGAGTACTACCTGCCTGTATTTGTATATTTATAGGCTGAACGCACACCCACGTCCATACCCACACTCAAAATATTAGTGATGTGCACAAAAGAAAAAAAAAAAGCCTGCATCCTCTTCTGCCTTTCTTGAAGCAAAAACTGAGTCTTCATTTTTTGGGAGGAAAACAGGGTTCTGTTGCTTGTCAATCTGCTGCTGTTTTGCTACACTAAAAATGGAGGTCCTTCTTACCCACTTTTTCCTGGAAGGCAATTTAAGCAGCTGGAGAGCTAATAGCATTATGAGATCAGAAGGATGCTATTCCCTGAAAATGTAACATGACTTCTCTTAAGAACACTGCCCTGACTTGACTCCTTTCCACACACAAGGTCCCCATTGAGTTGGCTTGCTAGAAAAGACTTAAGGGCTAAGACTCAAGTGATTATAACTTATCAGTTGCTAATGCATCATTCTACTGTGGGGATACAGAGTAGCACCACACGAATTTTCACCCTTCCCCCGCTGTCTCCCCTCCTCCATCTCTACAAGTAGCTTGCATGCAGCGACATCCTTGGCAAAGCACACTGCTACTTTCTCCTACTGACAAACACCTGCTGACATGCCCATTACTGCATTTCCCAGTCCTTCCTTCTATGCTTATGAAAGTTGAAAGGGTGACATTAATACTAACACAAGCTGATTTTAACTTGGAGTTGCTGGGGTAACAGCATTTCCACTCATATACCCAGAAAGCGCAAGTTCTTCCACAGTACACTGCAAAAGAATTCACAACATATGTTTAAACAGCACAATACAGCGCCATGCAGAGAAGTCCAAGTTAGCACATATATTAGCCTGAGTACAGGTTTCCCTAGCTTTATGCTGTACTTGTGTTCCTGGAAAATGGCACATAACTCAAATTCACATACAGGGAACCCACTTTACAATGTACCAAATAGGGATACGTTCCACGACCTCGACTGTACTGACCCCCAGACCCATTTCTACCACTTTTACAAGATAGTTTTGGTACTCCCCAACAGCAGATAGTGCACACAAGCACAGGGCACTATCATAATGGGCATGGTAACTACAGAAATGTGTTGCAGACAAAGAGTGAGGCGTACAGATCCACACAGGAGACTGCATTTTGGTGCGTGTCAAAGCAGCTGACTGTGCACTTCCACCACGCTGATCGAATAAGAGTGAATTTACCTCGCATATAACGGTTGTTGGTATACAAAGAGTCATTGCATTAGAGCAAATCTGCACATATACAGAACCTGCATAAAGCGAGGGAAACCTGTATAGCACATCCATATTGTGTCTATGTAAGTGGGTTATGTAGCCAACTGGCTTTTGCAAGCAGCTTTGCCCCCTGAGAAACTCCCCAGCCTTCAGGTAACCTAGTGCTTAGGTTACACACAACCAGGCTACACACAAACGAACACGTGGCCAAATAAAACCAAAACCTTGCCTAGGCACTTGAGAAGGACCTTTTTGGCTCTGCCTCCCAGCATGGCTCCTTGGAGCAGCAAATAGTTGATCTCACTGCTGAGCTGCTCTATCATCCACAAAATATGCTCCCAGAAATCCTGGTGCCACAAGCACACGGGCAGCACTACCATGAATACAAAACCCAGAGGCTTGTTTCACAGTATGGCTGCTCTTATTCAAGCAAAGCTAACATGAGATAAATAATTCACATGCAAAACACTAGTTAATTCTGCTGTGAAGATATGCCCAGGCTGCTTAAAATGATGTTTTCGCTTACCCCAAGTCAACTCCAAAGCATGACAGAATATGAGCAAGCAATATCTCCTTGTTAAAGATTCAGATGCAT